GGCGGCCGCGCCGCGCTCCCCATTCATGCTCCCGCCGCTCCATTCAGCGCCGGCCGCTCCATTCACCGGCGGAGGCGCGACAGGGATCCGCGGGGGCTGCTGTCTGCGGTTGGGTGGTTTGCGGCGCTCGGCGCTATTTTTAGCTCTCCTGGTTAACGCCGGCTCTTAATTAAGCGCGCGCCCGAACTCCCTTCCCCTCCTCCCCCTCCTTTACTTAACATCGCACCCGCACGGTAACGTGAGCGCGGCGAGAAACCTCCCATCGGGGAGCGGGTCGGGGCTGCTATAAAAAGCTCCTCGCGAAGGAGGCTGGCTGGCTGGGCAGGGGGGGCGTCTGAGGACCCGCGTCCCGGGAGCACCACGTGCCGCCGCAGCGAGGGGGCGGCGGGGGGGAACACGCACCGCCTCGGCAGCTCCCCCTTCCTCCCCTGCAGCCTCTCTTCCTCCCCCGCACCCTCGGCAGCGGGGACGATCGGCACAGGGAAGACGGAGAGAAAGGTAGCGGGGATGCCCTGTGCCACCCGTACGAGCCCGCTGAGGTCTGGTTACCCTGTTCCCCAAAAGCAGCACCTGCTTCAAAGAAAGGAGGRACCAGGGAGCCATTGCCCAGCCGTGAGAAAGACCCAGTTGATTGAACAGGGTATCCCTTCATCCTGTCGTGTGGTGGGCGCTCTGGTAAATAAATTAAAAAAAAAAAAAATTAAAAAAGCAGCACTTTCTTCTGACTGAATCTTTTCGCTTGCATAGTATAGAGCTGTTGAAAATCTCTGAACAAACTGGGCGTGGGAATCACTCTCCCATTGAGGATAACGGGCTGCGAGCGCGGATGCCAGTGCGCGCTGCTCTCCGCTGAGCGCAGGGTTGGGCGCGGTGCTGGCGGCCAGGGACAGTCCCGAGCCCCTCCATCCCGCCCGGAGCGCCCGTGGGGATGCTGCCACTGGGGAGAGAGCGGGGAGGCTGCAACCGGAGCGCGGGGCTCCTCCCGGGGCGGCGCAGGCTCCGCCGGGCGCTGCGGAGCGCAGGTGGTGTCTCTGCGCGGCTCTACGCGGGCTGGGAGGGGCTCATGCGGCCGCAGCCCGCGCTCAGCCGCCCGGGTTTACGGAGCTGTAGCCGGTGGCAACCCGAGGTGAGGGATAACCAAAGCCACCGTTGTGGCCAGCAGTTACGTAACGCGGCGGGTGTGACAGGAGACCGCGGGAGCGGCCGGCCCGCGGCCGCGGAGAGGTGCGGACAGGCAGGGCGGCGGCAGCARCAGCGGCACCCCCGCCCCGGCAGGCACCGCAGTCCCAGACCGCACGGCTGAGTGCCGGGGAAACCCTGAGCTTCTCATTCACCCACGGTTTTCTTACACCTCCGCGGGCAGCGGAGCSAGGAGCACAGCCGCTCAGCCTCCCGCTGGTGAATGAGACCGCTTTTGTTTCGTGGGGGAAGCGCTGATTTATTTGATCGCTTACTAACTCGTTAAATGCTCAGTATTCCGGCAGCGTGTTTTCCCGCCGCCCCGGTAAACAGCAGAGCCGGGGAGATGTGTCGGCACTACAGAGCATTCCTCGCAACAGCTTCCCGAGAAGAGCAAAGCTCATCCATCACTGGAGATGGAGAGCAGCAGTCCGCACTACAGGGGAGGCTGCAGGAGGAGCCCCTCAGCGCGGCGCCGCAGCTCCTGGGCAGAGGGTGGCGGTGACCGGCCCCACACCCACATCCTCACACCACCGGCCCCCAAAACCCACATCCTCACACCACCGGCCCCACACCCACATCCTCACACCACCGGCCCCCAAAACCCACATCCTCACACCACCGGCCCCACACCCACATCCTCACACCACCGGCCCCCAAAACCCACATCCTCACACCACCGGCCCCACACCCACATCCTCACACCACCGGCCCCCAAAACCCACATCCTCACACCACCGGCCCCACACCCACATCCTCACACCACCGGCCCCCAAAACCCACATCCTCACACCACTGGCCCCCAGCCTCTGTCCCCCTCTCCGTGCATGTGTCCGTGTAGGTGCATAACAAGTAGGCTATCAAGCTGTGGAAGATTAAAAATAGGAGGAGCCAGTATCAGGGGGATATCAGACCAAGGGCAGCCACACGTGGAGCCAGGCAGAGCTGCCTGGTCCTCAGCAGACCTCCATGGGTGTTTCACTGGACAGGGAGGTGCTGGCTGCCCAGAGAGAGCTGTGAAGTTTCACAAGGTCAGGTATTTTTAACCAGAAGGTAGAGCGATCATGAGGATCAGCCCATGATTTTGCTTCAAAGAAAGGGAATCTGGTCCATGCAGGAACTGCTGTTATTTGTCTCATTCCTGGGATGTTCAGTAAGGTGTTTGCAATTTAGACCCATAGGGGAATGGAGGTATCACTCCATCCCTCCCATTTTAATCTTGTGACAAGAGTGTACACTGGGCCAAGGCTGCTAGTGCTGGTGAGAGCAATGCTTAGGGAAGGGAATGCTTCCTGAAAAAGGGACTGAAGACATCCTACCAAAAAACCTATGTGAGACCCGAGCACCAGCAAGGGCCACGACACATTGAGAAGCCTTGCACTATTGCTCCATGTGTCACTTTGTTTCCTGCAGAGTGGGAGATGAGCATCAGGATGTGGATAAGGCTGCAGCAAGAAGCACCTCTCCATTCCCCACCAGGGAGTGGGACAACCTTCTCATTCTTCCCTCTCACTTTGACAGAGACACCTCATGCTAAAAAATGCTGCTCTTTAAGGTTTTGTGTGTGTTTACTCACATTCTGGAGAGTTAGAGACTCTTAGATGCCACCCAAAACAAGAAAGCTGTGAAAGCTGCAGAGGAGCACATCTAACAACATCAGGCTGCTTCACACTGATCAACATTCAGAGTCAGTCAGTCTTAGAGGCAGTTTGGTACTGTTTGKTACATCCTCTGAGGCTGGTCTCTATCCTCACATTTTCTACACTTTTTTCTGCATACACATTTTTAAAGAACAACTGAGTGAAGTTAAATGATGCTTTACATGAAAGCATAAGATAATATCAAGGCACAAGAACAAGTAAATCACTAGGGTCAGCCACCCCATATTATAATAATTTAAATCAGGGTTGACTCCACTGTAATGAGCAAAGCTGGCAGAAATCTTTCTACATGAAGAAACACAGGATTTGTCTGATCTGTCATAAAAGAGCCCTGATTTTTTTTTTTTTTGCTTATGTTTGGGATGTGCCTGTTGCCCATTTTGTCTCCAGCCAAGTTTCCTGGCTGATCTTGAACTGATGTTRTAGTCTTGGTTTTGGTCCTGTCTCCTGTTGATGCAGCCTGGCCTCTCTGGATGAGTGCTAAGCCTGAGTCTTCTTTTTGTTCTGTCTGGGGCTGTCAGCTGAGCCTGTTGTCAGCAACTGCCTGCTGCTCTTAGGTCCTTTAGACTGCTCTGGTTGATGTGGGAACTGCCTGGGCTGTGGTTTTCCTTGACTCCTAGTTTGCCTTTCCTATGGAGAAGGTCTTAAAGCTACACAGCAAGGGACATTAGATTGAGTTGAGGGGGCACCGTTCATCTGAAAAGATGAAAGGAAATGTAGAAAACATGAGAAAAAATTAGCCATTCAGCTGGTTCTCTGAGGAAGAGGATGGAGACAGCCTGGCATATGGGACTGAGATTGTCAGTAAGGGGGATAAGTATTGAGAGTGTGCTGGTACTGGTGCCTGGCAGAGAATGGAAAGGGAGGGCACTTGTCTCCTGGAAAAGTTTTCATCGTGGWACTGTGTGGTTTTCTTCCATCAGAGGAAATAGCTGTGGGGGTTGATGGCAGATAAGATGCCTTGGAAGGGGCTGACTTGAATACGAATACCAAAGGAAGGCCTTGGATGGTTGTGCTGGAACAGGGAGGTAGGTAAGTGGTGGTGCCTGTGACAGTGAAACAGCAGCTTCTGATATCCTTTGYGTTCTGGTGCCTTTCTCACCTTCAGAGAAGCCCAAGAGCTGCATGAAATATATAAATGCAGCCTCTATTCTGCTCAATCACAATAGGTATTTCTGTAGTGAAAAGATGAAACTATCTTAGGGCTGAGGTGGAAAAAAATGAGGTAAGCCAGCTGGCAGTGTGTTTCTGTGGTGAGCAGTAGTGTGGAGAGTAGGAGCAGCTGCTCATTTGAATGCTTAGCATTAAATTAAGTGGGTGCAGGTTCTGTCTGGAGCCGTTCCTCACTATTTTGAGACCTTCATAGCTCCCCTGTTATACTGAAGAGCAGTTATGATGCTGGTGGTTCTTGAGCACTCTAGGAAAGAAAGGAAACTCACAGTTCCTCTCTGCTGTGGTGCTCTGACACATTTTCACCGTTAGATTTGCCAGCCTCTTGGGCTGCTCTCCCAGCACACTTGATTAGTTCTCCCCACAAACTTGCCTTGGCAGCTGCTGTTCAGTACACAAATCTGATACACCCATGGGGCAATTCCACTTCCTCAGCAGTTTAACTAGTGTGGCAGCAGGTAGGCATGGTAGGAGGTATCTACTCTTCGTTACATCAGATCATTGGTTGTGATGCTGCACTATAACAAAATGTGGGCTGAGGTTCCTTCTGTCTTTTAGAGGAGTGATTCAGAGTGCTGACATTTTGTCATGTTTGGGATGTGTGGCTTTCTTTCCCTGACAAGTCTTTTATCTCAGTGTTTTTTTCTTACTTGCAATCTGTGGTATCTCCCACCTGCATGTTGTAAA